CCAATGTTGTGACAGATTCCATCTGGTCCCACAAATGTTTGTGGACAACAAACCTGGAAACAGGTAGACCAAAGAAGTGTGGCAATATGACAGACATTCCCAGGAAATCCTAACTGTCTTCTGTAGCCCTGCCATGACAGACAATGCACAAGGACACAATTTCCTGCAAGTACTGTTGTGCCATCAATGGTTCCTCACTCACACTATTAGGGATGACCGACTATCATATAATGATTCCCAGACCAGCATGTTTACAGTACAAAAGTGTACTGATCAGTAGTAAATGTGCAGTAGAGGCATTCATCAGTGATATTCCACACTAACATTTCCAAACAGAACAGAATTTGTTGCTGAAGACAATATGCTGCCAGTTTGTAAGTCCTACTTCTGTCATGGTATCACTGTAAAAAGAGCTAATAATGTTGCAGTATTAATAGCAGAATGCATAGCAATTGTTAAAAATTGCAATTTGCATCTGACAGTCACTTACTAATGGTATGGGAAGAGATGGGGTTCTGTATTATGGCTTTGTCTTTGGATAGTGGACAAAGACACATTGCAGGTGTTCATACTAGTGTCACGATCAGACAATCATTTCTCTTGATGGTCTGCTCAAAGCATATAGAGTCTGCCTTGCCATGTAAGTTCCTGAATATATCTATTCCCAAACATCCCATAGTCAGGTCAGGACAACCCAGATGGCAGGCAATTTGGTGAAATGGTCATCACAGTTTACTCAACCCAATAATGCTGCCTTTCTCAAACTCTGACTTTGTTGTTTGAAGAAGTGCTGTGGAGTCAGACTCAGAGTCACCAGAATCATAGCCGGTAAAATTCATATGATTCTGGCCTCAAAGTTTACCATTGGTAAAATGTGAAGTAAAAAAAATACTATTTAGTTAATTAGTCTCTGGAGAATTTTGTTAGAAAACAGACACTTTAATTAAACATAATTTGGTCTTAAAACAATCAATAGAAAATCAATGAAAAAGTAAAATAAAAATCAGAATCTAACAAACTAACAGAGGAAGAGAAAACTGAAAAATGTAATTAATGGGAGTGTTTCAGCTTATTCAATGGTTTAAGTTCTTGAGGCACAATTGCACCCGTCGGTTCAAGATAAATTATCTTTTTTCCAAATTTCATATTTTAAAATTCTACTATATACTTCAGTTTAGTCATCTGTCAGTATGAAATTAACTATTCCTGTTGTAGCCAGAGCAGGAAAAAGTATTTTATGGACCAATTTATTGTCATTCACCAAATCATTATTTTTTGTTTTATTGTATTTAATTTTTCCTCAAAAATAATTAAATAATAAAAATGGAATTCCTTTGCCTATTAAGATGTATTGTGTTTCTTTATGTACTCAAAAGTTTTTCCAAGATATATCCATTTTTTATTCTCACCATAAGTTTTAGTATGATTTTTTTATAGAGAAATTTCAGATAAAAATATTTGAATACTCAGTGACATCTTTCTTATAAAAGGAATTACAGTGTAACATTTTAAAAAGGGGTAAGGTTAGAGTTGGACTTTTTGTTTACTGACTCAACCACACTGATTTGAATACTTCCAAACAACAGGTGCATTGAAAATTCTGAGCACAGTGAACTTCTTCAAGACTTTTTGTAGAATACAAGGGTAGTGAGTAAGGCATTTTGGTGGTATTACCTGGCATAATTCAAACCACAACTCTTAATCATTTACACAATTATCTAAGACAAAGATATATGCCAAGATTTTACAGTAATCTGGGTGAGTACTTTGTCAATTAGTGTACTGGGCAGTGATCTGACTTAAAGTAGAAATAATAAAGTTCCTAATCAGAGTTCAAACTGTGATGCAACAGGCGCACTGAAAATTATATAAACATCTAAAAGACGAATCTAAAGTCCAACTTTAATTCTACTAAAAACTTTCAGGATAAATTAGATAGTTAAATGATTAAAGAGAAAATTCTCTAAAAACCCAGAAGAATAGATTTTAAAAAATTGCCAGTGAATATTTTAGGGACCAAACGCTGTTAAACAAATTAAAGATTTTAACACTTATTATTAGTGTCCCAGTAAATAAAATCAGTACTTATGAAAATACCAATTCAAAGATTTAAAAAATCTCATAGAAAACTGCATTACTTTTAATTGACATTTTCTAATTATTATTTTTATTCAAAAACATCATAAATCAATTATTCTATCATATTTGTACAAATTCATAATATTTTAACAAATATAACAAATATTAGAATATGAGTGCAATTATTAGTATCAGTTCCCACATATGGTTATACTAGCTGTTACCTGCGACTTCACCCACGGAAGTTTTTCAAGCAAACCCCATTTATATTCAGTATTTCAACAACCATAGTAATTGTTATATAATATTTATTGCTGAGAATGCAGAGAATTACTGAGAATAAAATGAACTGTTTTCAACTTGATCAATTTTTTTGGAACGTTTACAATCATTCTATAATCGAACCAATATGCAAATTCAAATTTAAAACGGTTCACACATTTGGTTAAAAAATCGAAATATATAAAAATATTTATAACAATGTCTGAAATGTTATCAATTTAATACACCTAAGTACTCAATGAAGACTAAACACAGTTAAAAACAAAAAATTACATCTAAAATAGTACAGTAGAAGTCATTCTTCCAGTTAAGCCTTAATGCTCTCCCGTGGGGAAATTTCGAAAAATCCCTTCTTAGTGTTCATTTACATGACGTACCCTGTGTACCAAATTTCACCTTTTTAGGCTCAGCGGTTTGCCCTGGGCGATGATGAATCAATCAGTCAGGACAAGTAATTTTATATATTTAGATAAGTTTGATATAGCTGTTTGGGAATCTTATTTTTTTAATTTTATTATTATACGCTGATTTTAAAAAAGAAAAAAAATGTATATTCATTGCTTGCCTGTGGATATTCATTTTCCAAGTATTCAATTTGCCAAGTAAATAAATTTAATCCTGAAAGACAGTATATTTCCTCCATATTCTGATTTTAAAGATAACTTATTAAATTTCCAATAAATTCATTTCTTTCTACACAGACAATTTACATTAATATGAATCAATGGGAGAACAGTAGTTAGTTTGCTTTATCGAAAATTTGTATTAACAATTTTCAGGGTCAAGGTGGAGGTTGTATAATTAAGGCTTAATTAACAGACAACTGCAATCTCTAAAATATACTACAGTATTTTGAATTAATTTACTAAATAAAGTTAAATACAAATAAATTATTAACAAAAACAAATTTTAAATGAATTTTCAAATCAAACAAAATGAGGAGATGCCATCTACCATTTAAGTGTAGAGCTGTATACAGAGTGTTTAAAACAAACAAAACTAAAAGAAATCCATGATTTTTTCTATTGAAGGTTGTATGAAAAGTTTAATATATTTCTGGCACCAAACGAGTAAAAAAGGAGCCAAATTTGGTGAAATGTAGCCAAACCTAGCACCACCATACACAATCCCAAATATACAAACTAGCACCTTTGCATAGGACCACATCTATTTAAAAGGGCATCCTTAAAATCTAACCCCTATTTCTGAGTATAGTAGAATGGTCCATTAATACCAGATGTTTGAATTGTTCTATAATAGGAGGTTGAATCCATCTTTGTTTACTGGATGAAGAAAATTTATTCTACTCAAAATAAAAAATTTATTACAGTATCACTTTTTTACATGAATAATAAAATCATTAGTGGAAATAGGGTTATTTCTTCCGGGTTGTGAAGGTAATTTAGTTTTGTTTAACAAATTCTGATAAAATTTTGCTCGCTTTCTCATGTGAAAATTAATGACATATCTGTTAGTTATATTAAATACTTGGATTGGATGTCACGCCAACAGTTGTGTTAATTCAATTAGAAACTTCAGACTAGGAGGCTCTTTTTGATTTTGAATTGCCTGAGGACGACGTACATATTTACGTTGAAAGCACTTGGAAGATTAAAACATTCCTTTTAATTCTCTTTAACGCCTCCTAGTCTGAAGTTTCCAATTGAATTAATGTCATGACAATGGCAAAATTTGCTTTATTGGTGTTTGCTTAGTACAACAACTATGAATGTTATCCTTTAGTTCAGGGCTTCTTAAACTATGGGTCGCGAGATTTTAATGCAAAATTTGTGAGAGTTTGAAAATGGCACACTTTGTGTCATAGGTTTCATGAGTTGCACTTTATGTCACTTCTGGTGCAGCGAGATAACGATTCAGCAACACTGTAGTGCGAACTAGCATAGTAATGTCGCTTTTCAGTGTATTCAGTTGTCTCTGTTCCATCGTAATACAAGAGTGAACTGTGGTAGTACACCATTATTGTTTTTGCAAATTTGTATATATCTTTATTTTATACTTTTTTTTTTTGGGTCATGAAAAAAAATCACAATCATAAATGGGGTCGTGAATAAAAAAAAGCTTAAGAAGCCATGCTTTAGTTTGACATACTTTGTTTGTCCACTTGTTTTTTATTTTTTAACCAATGAACTTAATAATAACAATTTTAATCATGATTATAAACTTGTATCAGAAATCAATATAATTTAGTGCCAATACAAGACAAGACTGAGAAAGACTTAGGAAGAAAGTACACGAAAAATGATGAGAGGAGGGATACATTAAGGAAGAAATATATATGAATTGAACAGAGTAAAAAAATTGTCTGAAGACCAATACATCAGATTCTAGAAACTGATTTTATATATAATGTATGTGTGTTTGCAGAGAAAGGGTTGTATTTACAAATAACAAAAATTTTATATTGTACAAAATTTTTCTTGTGAGTCTACCTAGCTACTTCTTCATTCCACCCTGTTAAAATATAAACAGTGCAGCAATTTTTATCATCATTCTTTAGGATTCTCAGTTACTTCAATCTCTGCTTACAAATGAAACATTTGCCTTACTGGTGAGTCAGTTTAAATCTACTCAATTCTGATCATATAATTGCACTCATGTATTTTCTATATGATACATACCGTACTTATTGTACATTGAGATCTTTAGCAGCAATACTTCTTGTATCTGCAAATAAAAATGTTTGTTTCAATTATTAATTGCTACTTAATTGGCTTATCAAATAAAAATAAAAACTATCAAATCATTATTATTAATGTAATATTACCATAATAGTTTTTTGAAAAAAAAGTAAGTTCATTACTAATGACATTTCCTTTACAATACAATAGAATACACTTATTATGATCACACTGGGGACCTGCTTGTACTGATAACAACAGATTAAAGAATAAGATTTCTAAATATCTAAACTTAGATAAATGCCTAAACTGAAGATAATGTTAACTAAAATACTGAATATGATAAATAACATTTTATAAGTGTTTCCTTTTTTAACTTCATACGTTTTGGGGCTTGAAAACAAATGGTACCTATGTAATTCTAATAAGCAGATTCTACTGCATTAAAATATGTTTTGATAGCCAGCTAATAATGAATTAATAAATTCAAATTTTTATTCCCATTCAAATCTCCAATATATTAATAAACTCAAGAATGACTTTTGAGTTTGTTCATTTATTGAGTATGAAAAAGTTGAAAAAGTTAAATCTTAAATTTAAATCAACCATTAGCCAAAATATTGATAATTTACTCTATAACTGCCTAAAAAATATAAGTAACAAAATTAAGTTTTTATTACATTTTCAGTTACTAATATAAATTATATAAGGGTTTAATTATTAGAAGCATGAAACGAAGTTTGTTATGCTAACATTTTACAAATTTATAAAAACTAAAATTCAATCCTTTGGTGAAAATTTGTTATTTTTTTTACATTTATATATAAACAACTTGACAGAGATGAGAACATTTTCCAACCTTATACTATAAAAAACCATTGTTACTTCTAACTTTTGTTCTTTCAAATTGACTGTGCCTTTCTAATTATTACAGTTAGAAAATCAGATATTTTTAGTTATGCAATTATTTCAAAATTTAATAGAACAAAAAGATGAAAATTAAAATGAAAGTAAGCTGTATTATTAGATATTATAGTTGATACTCAAAAGAAAAAAAAAACATTCTTGGCATAGGTAACAATTGTAAAAAGAAGAATCTTACTTGATCTTTATTTGTTTTGAAAAATGGCTTCTATTATCTGTAAATTACTCTTGAAAAACTTATTTATGATTGAATGAAATACATTGTAGAGATATTAAATCTATATTCAGCAAATATAAGAAATTTTTTGAGTCTCATCTAAAAAACTTCTTAATTTGTTTAATTTATAGATTATATATTTCTTTGTGTGGAGATCTTTTTGTTTTTACAAACTGTTCAAAATGTTTAAAGAATTTTAACAGAATAAAGAACAATCACAACTCATACACAGATTGTATTCCTGGGGCACAAGTAAACAAATACTTTCAAACAATTATCTTAAAGAAACATATTGAAATTAAGGGTAAGGGAATGTTATGAAATTATGTATATAGTGATGAACAATTCTTGGTTTATTTTATGCAGAAAAAAGTTAGTCCTACAGTATATCTACACTTTTTAAGAGAAACTATAAAACTATAATAATCTTTCAAATTCACTGCTGATTATCAAAGGTATTTTGTTACTGTTACTCAAAATTTCTTTTTTATCTAATCAATTTGAAGTCCGTTTGAAAGAATTAATTTTGCATAATATAAAATAATAGTTTTTGACTACTGATAACAAATTTGTATCATCAAAAATGATATTTGTAATGTAAAAAATTGCTGGATTTTCATAATAAACTTTTCTTTCTATAAAAAGAACTACACCCTGCTCTAATGTAACAGAAATGTTTTACTATTAACTTGCTTAAAATATATCATCATATAGTAGTTTCTATACTTTTATACATGCAAAATTTCTATTTGTGCAGTTGCTTAGGTATGGAGCATATCAAATTATTTCTGTGTAGTTTTCATTGTATGATACATGTGACAAGCTTATACAAGTCAAACTTTTATCTTCTGGAAATCAGTAAGAATTAGTCCAATTATTCAAAGAACAGAAACATTATTATCTTGGTTCAGATCTTAAACAAGATGATGATCCATTTCTGTTCTTTCTGTAATTATTTGCTATGTTGTCATCATTTTACCTTATTATGTAAAATAAATAAACAATTAGTTCAGACATTAACTGAACAATACAAAGAAAACAGTAGTGGTGAAGACTAAATCTGAAAATTATCATAATCATCTGGAAAAATCACTGTTTGAACAATCCAAAAACAGTTTAACACAAATAGGATTATCACAGACTTTTACACCTGGTTAACGTATCTATCTCATTTATCAACTAGATATTGTCTTTCTTTTCAATTACAAATGAAAGACTAACAAATAATGATGACTATTCATCATATATTCGAACATAAATTGAAATATTATTTTTAAATATAAGTAATGCAAACATTATTCTCAATGATAGAAATAATAATGAATCTATTTTAAAATCAACTGAAAATAAAAAGTAATAAATCAAGTTATGAATGCAACAAATCCCAATTTTATAAGCTCAAATTAAGCAAATACATAGGGACAGGATGATAAAAAGGCACTCTTCTTCTAAACTCTCATATTTTCTCATATCAAACAATATAGTATTAAAATTGATAATGTTAATTTCAAGCGACAGATATCATAAAAATTTCTAGGAAAAACCTGTCAATATCAAGAATTTTATAACTGAATTTGAATCATCAGTCTAGTGTTAAAAGAAGGTGTTTTATACAATCATCTCAATGTTGTCTTTATAACTATAGAGAACAGTTAGACAATCTGTAAAATCAGTGCTGAATTCAATAATATTCAAACAATGTTTCACAAAATTGATGAGCCAATATTAGAAGAAATTTGTTAAAATATTTTTACTTCCTTTAATATTGGAGAGACTATCAATTACAGAAGACAAAAGTACTTTTTTGTTTTAATATTGTATTGTTGGTATTTTGGAACATTATTTTATTATTATTCATTTCAACTAGTTTTACAGACTATATTTTCTACAATATTGAATTCTTAAATTAATTAAGTAGAAATTACCACATAAATAATAAAATCTGCTACCATTTGTGTGTGATAACTTATCTCAGTATTCATCTGCTTACTGAATTTAACAAGAATTTTGACATTTAACACATTAACAAAAGTATTTTGTTTTTTGTGTAAATAATTAAACTAGAAAACTATAGTAACTCTCAGACAGTGATCAGTACAGGTTAAATTTGCATGCATATAAACATCAATATATACACATACATATGCATGTGACAATGCTAGATATATGCCATGCTGTACACACATTAAAATGCCTGAAATTTGAATTGTGTGTGTTAAAAGCAGCACTAATTTGTAAATTGAAATGCATCTTACTAACTGCTATTCTGTCATACTGTTTAGATGGAAGGAGATAAACATGTGACAATAGGTTACACAAGATATTTGGAAATTATGTCCAAAACATGTACTCATATTAGAATAATGTTTCATGTTTAAGGTGTAAAAACAAATAAACTGTATGTTCAACTAACTTTATAACAATAAATAAGACCTACTTGAACCTTTAACCGATGTGTATAGAAATTAATCTTTCCAATACGAACGTTTTCTTAACCCCTTCTGGGCTCTTCTTCAGGTATAGGTATACTATACCTGAAGAAGAGCCCAGTGGGTCTTATTTATTTTTACACAACCCGGTGTGCAGTTGCTGTTTTATAACTTTATAACTTTCTATGCTGTCTTCTAATCAATCATTAATAAATTTATTTCTATATGTACAACTGTTCACAAGATTTTGAGGATAACTGAATTAACCTCATTTCCCTTGCCCTATAATTATGTCACTGATCTAAAGTAGTTGTGTATATTATTTGTTCATAGTCCTGTACAAATTTCTTCTATGAAGTTTTTCATAGAAGAAATGAATAAAAACTTTTATTAAGTCATTAACTAATTATAAATTTAGTGTGGAAGTAGATAGTAATGTTTCATTCCCAACTGATATAAACTCTACCAAAGTTTAGTGCAACTAGAACTTTCCTGTCATCAATCACTGCTTTGGTTTGTTTTGACACTTCATGCTGCACTGATGTAAAGACATTTCAACACTCAAAACAGTTTTTATCAAGAAATGATTTGTAGCATACATTATAATACAGAATTTTTCAATCCGTTTTATATATCCAGGATCAAAACTCCCGGTACATACTTTCCTAGCAATTCAGCATTAGTTTTGCTATTTTACCTACAATGTTAGTTGAATTGATTCAACCAACATTGTAGGTAAAATAGACTCAGTATAACAATCTTTTCTGTGCATGTTCCATATGCAGAAACCATGTTTGATATCTATTTGTATAATTTTATATTCAAATATAACTGAAAAAGCTGTAGCCACCATAGCAAAAGGATAGACACCAGCAAGCCTGGAAGAGTCTATGTCAGATAAAAGTGATGGAAGGAGACATGTGGGAGTTGACACATAATCAGTAATAAAATTTGTAAAAAAAACTAAAACAATAAAATTATTTATGATAAAGATAATACAAAAACTTTTTAAAAATGTAAAAAACAAAACAGCTAAAAGAGATAAGATCCATGTGTCAACTCCTACGTGTCTCTCCTCCACCCCTTTCATTTGACATAGACCCTTCCAGCTCAGGCTGACTCATTCCTACTCTTTCTTTGCTGGGATTACTCTGTAGTCAAACTGGTCGAAAATATTTTTATTCTAATAAATTTATAGCTGCTGGAATTTCTAAGGTTGAATTTTACTCTTGTTCAGAAATTTGACTGTTTTACTCACAAGAGAGAAATTATCATCCTTATATTTAATTAAACATTATTAAGCCAAATGATAAAAAAAAAACAGACTTATAAACTGGAACTATAATATTCAAAGAAATAACAACTAAATGCAATTTCCAGCAAACAAGTAGAAAAATTTACTGGTCAAACGTTTTCGCCACAATTGTCGGTCCTCATCAGGAGAAATACCAAATAAAAATCAGTTCTAACAATTGA